ATTTTTTAAAAAAGGATACAAAAAAGTCTATAAACAAAACAAAATAATTGTTTTTCACTACTTCTGTGTAATAATCCACTAGAAGTTGTAACTCTGAACTCTGCTCTATCCTGAGCCAATCTCACTGTCTCTGACACACCTACTACCCCCAATACCCCAGTTACTGTGTCAATCAATCTCATCCCAGGTTTTCCCCTCCTGTGCTGACCCTCAACTCTTCCAAGGATTATATCCTTCTCCAAAGACTTGTCCCTCCTGGCTACATTCCCAGAGTATGTCAGATGGAGACTCAAAATCCTTGCTTCCAAGGAGCAACTTGTTTTACCCTCTCCAGGACAGACCTGTTAGTTCTCTTGGAAGTCCATGGTATGTTCAATACTATTCTCCAGCACCACAACTCAAAGGCATCAATTCTTCTTCTGTCATCCTTGGTCATTGTTCAGCTCTCTGATGTATAGCAAGTAGTTACAAAAACCATGGCCTGGATCAGGTGCACCTTAGTCTCTAGACTAACATCATTGCTCTTCAGCACTCTGGAGAAGTCCCTGACAGCATATTTTCTTAATGCAATTCATCTTTTGATATGAAATGACCTTTTTCTTGTTGATGTACTGGAGTATTGTTATCACATATGTCATTGCCAAATATTTTTTACCATACTGTAGATGTCCTTTTTACCGTGTTGGAGAAGTTTTTTGATGTGCATGTGGATTTGATTCTCAGAAGGTCCCATTCATCTATTTTATTCTCTCCTGGGGATAGGCTTTTCATTATGCTTGAAAGTTTGTTTCTGCTGTAGATTAGGGCTTCAACAGTTGTTCCTAGCTTGTCATGGATTAATGTTACAGTCTTTGTTTTTACTCATAGGTTCCTGGTCCACCTTGAATTGGGTTTTGTGTCTGGCTTGAGGGTGTGAGTCTTGCAGATGGTTTTCCAATTTTGCCAACACAGTTTGTTAAAGAGGCTGTAATTTCCCCATTTAACTGATTTCATCTCCTTGTCAAAAATCAGTTGACCATAAGTGGATGAGTTGATTTCTGGATTCTCAATTCTATGCCATTGATCTATGTATCTATTGCTGTAGTAGGATCATACTATCTTGACCACCATGACTGTGTAGTAGGATTTGAGATCAGGGATCCTACCTTGTTTCTCTTTCAGTAGTGTTTTGCTTATTCATGGTCTTTTTCTATTTCAGATAAAATTAGAAATTGTCTTTTCTATCTCATCGAAGAATAGAATTGGTATCTGTTGTTGGGAGTTTTTTATTACTTATTCAATTTTTTTTTATTTTGTGATTTGTCCTTTCAAATATTCTATTTCTGTCTGAGTTTAGGTAGGGTGAGAGTTTTTAATAATTTGAATAATTTTTTTTTTAATTTTCAAATTTGTTGAAGTATAGCTCTCCATAGTATTCCATTTTTATCCTTTTTATTTCAGTTTGTTCTCTTGTAACATTGCTCATTTAATTTCTGACTCAAGTTATTTGTGTCTTTCTTTTCCTTTGTTAACTTGCCAGTGGTTTATCAATTTTATTAATCCTTTCAAAGAACCAATTCCTGGTCGTGTTGATAATACCAATTGTTTATTTTCTGCTCTTCTCTTTATTATTTGCTTCCCCCCCCCCAGAGGTGGTAGAGTTTGCTTGCTGTTCTATTTGTTGGAGGTGTTGGGTCAAGAAGTTAGTTTTCAGTCTTTCTTTTTTTTAACATTTGTTTATTCCTATAAAATAACATTTTATGCATGAGCAGAGAACTAGGCTGCTAGTCCAGCACTTGGTGTAACCAACTGGGGTGCAGGACCTTGAGTGGTCATCCCAGGAGGCTCCTAGGTGATGGCTGGACACAGTGTATGCAGACTTATCAAAAGACCTAGGCATTTCTTAGGTACCTCTCAAATAAAACAGCAAATATTTGCTGTGGTTTTAGGTAATGGGTCCTTGAGGAGGAATACTCAACATGAGGCCACTAAATTGACATTAGGACTGTTGGCTTTGGGGCTCACGCGTGGGCATGGTTGGAGTATTGGATCACTGTTAGCTTTAACAGCAAAGCTGGTTCATGAGCTCCCACATACAGCACGTATGTGAGCTTTGCGTGTCTTTGGGCTGGCAGCCAGAACTGTGTGCCATCAAGTCAGAGCCAACTCATAGCTGACCCTCTAGAAGGTTTTTAGAGGCTTTTATAGTCATGGTGGTCAAGATAACATGATTCTAATACAGCAATAGATACATAGAGGTTTTAAGTCACATGGGAGATTAGCCATCTAAGCCACCAGAGCTCTCTTATATAGAGAATTTAACATTGTTCTTGCTGTTGTGTGCTAACAAGTTGGAACTGACCCGAAAGCTGACCCTCCAGAGGGTTTTCAGAGGAGGAAATTGTCCATCCTTCTCCTGTGGAATGGCTGGTGGATTTTAACTGCATACCTTTAGGATTTCAGGATAGCTTTTTACTATTTGGCATAGGTCACTATAAAAAATGACAAGTCAGTGGAAATATGGGCAAAATATACTAAAGCCATTTACAGAAAAATGATTGAGAGATGACTTTTAAAATCTGCATAAGCTACCTAAGAGTAGTTCAAGGTGGAAGTTACCACTACAGTTAGCTAATAAGCTTTCACACTCCTCAGCTTTGCATGCAGGCTGTGCTTGCTTTACAAGCAGTCTTTTTTTCTGAAACATATGCATGTCAAGGATGTGCTCTTTCAAAAGGTCTCAGCAGAACAGAGACAGAAAGCCGATTAATGGTTGCCTGGGGCAAAAATGAGAATTGACTGTAAATGGGCATTCGAGGTATTTTGAAGCTCATGGAAATGTTCTAAAACTGGATGGTAGAAATGGTTGCACAATTCCACATTACTAAATACATTGACTTGTACTCTGGAAAACGGATGTGTTTTTTAGCTGGGGAAAAAAGGCCTGGACAAAGTGTTGAGATGATTTGACCCAGTAATTTTATTTCTGGCAAGAGATCCTAGGGAAATAATAGTACAACTCACGAGAGGAAAACAGACTAAGATATTCAAAGGCTTTTGAAAAACTTTTTCATGGAAAAATAAATTCACCAAAAATAGAATAGATACAGAAGCGTTTAAAAATGGCAGAGCATTGACCTGACATTGGCATGAGCAAAGCCACTTATTACCTATCACTCTGCAGAGGAGCTGTCCTTTGCTAAGTTCTCCTGGTTGAAGCATGCTCTGAACTCTAGTGTTTACAGACTGTCGTCATCATCATCATTGTCACTGTGTGCCACTTAATTGAGTCTGACTTATGGCAAGCTGATGCCTAATAGGGTTTCATAAGGAGCTCTGGTGGCCTAGTGGTAAGAAGCTGCCCTGGAATCTCGAAGGCATGCAGCTTGAACCCACTAGCTGCTCCATGGGAGAAGGATGGGCAGTCTCCTCCTACCCTGTTTATAACCTCTGAAAACCTACTGGGTTGGTTCCAACTCTATGGCAAAAAAAAAATGGTAGATTTTCAAGAGACTCCAGTGACTTAGTTTGTAACGAGTTATACTAATCCAAAGGTCACACCTCTCTGGCAGTTGTGACCCATCTTCCACCAAAGCAGAACGATGGGGATTCTCTTCCTGTGTGACTTACTTCCCCTGAAAACCTGCTTGGGGGTCAGCGATGGGTTGCTTCTCAGTGGTGCAAAACAACATAATCACTTAGTTGGCCTCAGACAACCTCTGCCTTTTTGTGCAATTCCAATTCAGAGTCCAGTTTCCAAGGAGAAAGGAGAAAGCCTGTGTTGACCTGGCTAGACTGCCTCCAAGGAATTCTTTACATGCCCTGCACCATCAGCGGGACTTGCTCCTTTAGTTTGCAGTGAAGTCTTTTCTTCCTTGTGAAAGGGGAGCTGTCTTTATCTCTTCAATTACCATTACAAGCAGGCAAATACAGAGCTGTAATATGGTCATCCGGGAAACAGCTTAGCCCTATGGAGATTTGGCAGTGGGACCATCTACCTGAAAACTAATTGTTGGAAGAGAAATTTAAAACTGGCCAGAATTTTTATAGCACTTAGATATTTGTAAACAATACAAAGTATCTCCTCCTCTTGTGTATGGTCTTATTTACCTATATAGTGAGCTGCTTGAAGGGTTGGCTCCTGAAATGAATTCATTTCAAACTCCTAGACATGTTATCTCATGTCAGCTTCACATTCAACCTCGGAGATTTTTATCCAAAAGAGGATTTATGTGAAAAGAATTGTACCATTTTTTTTGTTTGCTCTCTTTTACATTCAGGAAGAAGTCTACTCACTTACAGAATAATTTATTTACTCTTAAGTGATAGTATTTAGTGCACACTTTTAATCCACATCTCACAGAGACTTATCCAAGCTAAAATTTTAAGTAAATAATAGCAAATGTAACTTGTTTCTTTTATCATGAAATCAAATACATGTCTGAGGTCCACTCAGGGCTGTCAATCTTTCCCCAACCCCCTGAACATTTAGCTGCTGTTTTCAAATTATTCTTTTTATTTCAGAAAAAAATATATATCCTGAGATTGGAAAATTGACTTGTGTGGTCCTTTCGTTCTGTCCCCAAATGGCATCTATCTACCCAATCCAGCCTGAAGAAGTTGCTCTTAGCCAGTCTCCACAGCCCTGACCCAGCTATTCCTAACGCTTGGCTAAGACGGAATTAAAACCCAAGCTAAAGGAGTTAATGGGTTGTGCTTACTTGGCGACATTCTCATTTCAGTTGCTATCCGTTGAATCCAACTCAGGCCAACACAGATGTTTCAGAGTGGAAACACACTCCATAGGGTTTCTTTATGACTGAGCAGAAATTTTCACAACAGTGCGCTCATATATACCAGAGATCATAAAGACGGTGGCAGCCTGGGCATTTTTTTGTTCTGTTGTACCAGAGGTCACCATGTTTGGAAACCAACTCAATAACAACTAATAACAATGTATGACTTCTGTTGACTTGGTTTGGTTTCAGATTTCTGTTGTCGTTTGTCCTTCCTAATTTCAGGTAATGGGGAAAGTTCCAACAATTTCCATTAATAAGACAGAAGGTTGCCACGTATACCTCAGTGAAGACGCACTGGACTGTGAGATTGTGAGTGCCAAGTCGTCAGAAATGAACATCCTTGTTCCTCAGGACGGCGACTACGTAAGTACACTTGAACAGGCTACGAAAACTTCCTACACCTTCATTATTAACGTCCTCAGAGACTGGCTAACCAAGTGCCCAGCTATGAGCTTTTGGAATTGTTCACAGGCAGGACAGGAATTCAGAGAACTGCCTTTTACACCGCCTCTTCTCTCCTTAGTTGCTTCTCCTCTTAGTTGCTTGATTGATCCCTCTTATTCCTGGAATTATGACTACCTAGTGAGGGAGTTTTCTAATGATTGCCTTTATCAAGAAGTACCCCATGTATTATTTTGAACTCAGTATACTCCTTCACTGTCCTGGTTGCACAGAGATTAAGGAAATACTGCATGGTTTAGACTAAGAAAGATGTGTGTCAGGGTTGTATCCTTTCTCCGTACCTATTCAGTCTGTATGCTGAGGGAATTTTTTGAGAAGCTAAACCCTGTGAAGAAGAATAGGAGTGGAGGAAGACTCATCGATAACCTTCAGTATTCAGATGACCCAGCCTTGCTTGCTGAAAGTGAGGAGGACTTGAAGTGTTTACTGCAGAAGATCTAACACTGCAGCCTTCACTATAAATAGTGCCTCGATGTTAAGAATGCAAAAATTCTCACCACTAGACCAATAGGCAACATCATGATAGATGGGGGAAAAAAACTGCTACTTTCAACGACTTCATCTTACTTGGATCCATAATCAATACACTTGGTACCAGCAGTCAGGATATCAAGAGGCATATTGCATTGAGAAAGTCAGCAGTCAGGGACCTCTCCGAATTATTGAAGAGCAATGATGTCAGTTGCACTTGATTCAGACCGTGGTCTTTCAGTCACTTACTATGCATCTGAGAGCTGGACAATGAATAAGGACGGCGGAAGAATTGAACTATGGTCTTGGAGAAGAGTACTGAATATCGTGTGGATTGCCAAAAGAATAAACAAATATGTCTTGGAGAAGATGTAGCCATTGTGCTCTTTGGAGGCAAAGATGATGGAGCTTTGTCTCATATACTTTGGGTATGTTGTTCGGAGAGGCTGTTCCTCAGAGCGGGACGTCATGCTTGGAAAGGTAGAGACACAGTGAACCAGAGGACGACTCTCAACCAGGTGCATTGACACAGTGGCTCCAACAATCAGGTCAAGGGTGTGACAGATTGCGAGGATGGCACAGGGTAGGACAGGGTTCAGATTTGTTGTTCATAAGGTAACTGTGGGCCGTACTCACCTTGACAGCACCTAACAAAAACAACCGTCCTGCACCTAGAGGATAGACTCAGGAAGTTTGGAGGGGGAGCAGTAAAACGTATTTTTACTAGGCCTCCAGGTGATCCCAATGCCAACAGTCCACCACCAGCCCTTCTGAGAAACACCACATGGTTTTGCCACCATCAGTTTTCTTTTTCTCCTTTCCCAAAAAAAGGAGCATCGGCAGTATAGGCTTGTCTGATTGCTAACTCAGAGGTTGTTATATGCCATCAAGTCGGATCCGACTCATTGCTGATCCCCTAGCATGTTTCTAGAGGCAGTAAATCATACAGAATGAAATTGCCCATCCTTCTCCCTCAAAGCAGGTGGTGAATTCAAACCATGTGCCTTTGGCTTGGCAGCACAGCTCCTTACCATTAAGCCACCAAAGCTCCCTAATCTAAAGGTTGGTGGTTCGGATCTACTACTGCCACGAGGGAGAATGATGTAAATCATCCAAAATTATTTACATCCTTAGAAATTCCACAGAGGGTCACTATGAGTTAGAACTAATGGCAGTGGGTTTGTTTTGGGTCTAAAAGAAGCATGCAGGTATTCTTGAAAATGAAAAAGGAAGCATAAATTACATTTTCCTGCTCATGCAATATGGTAAATCTGGAGAGCTTACTAACTGTTTCTTCATGGACGTAGGTAAATAATTTCAGAGCTAATCCACTCATGTCCTGACTGCACTGGAACCCAAATAAACCACAGAAGGATGGGAGAAAGCCTGACTCAACAACCATAGCTTTGGAACGGACTCCATCTGTAGACACCTGCCAACACACAGGTTGATTTCCTTGGACAGTCCAAGGGCTGCCTCATGTTTCTCCGTTCCAACCAGTCAGAAAGTTCTTCAGCTCTATAGAGCCACTTGATGCATTTGGCATCTAAGGAGTCATCATTTCCGTTTAAGAGACAACACTCTGCAAGCATTGGACCATTCACTGCAAGGTACATAGAAATCCAACTCAGTTGGTACCAGCAGCCAGGAATTAAAAGATGAATTGCATTGGGAAAATGTGCTGTCAGAGAACTCTCCAAAATCAACTATGGATCAACTATGGAAAAGTACTGAAGAGCAACGATGTCAGGCTGAAGACTAAGATGTACCTGATCTAGGCCATCATCTAGGCGATTACATGCTATGCATCAGAGAGCTGGACAATGACTAGGGATGATAGAAAGAGAATTAATGCCTTTGGGCCGTGGTCCTGGAGAAGAGTATTAAATACACCATGGACTGCTAAGAGAGCAAGTTCAACATAGAGAGGGTGAAACCAGGCTGCTCTTTGGAGACAAGGAACCTGAAGCTTTATCTGACCTACTTTGGACATGTTGCAAGGAGGGACCAGTCCTTGGAAAGGGATGTCATGCATGGGAGGGTGGAAGGACAGCATGAGAGGAAGATGATCAGTGAGATGAACTGATTTAGTGACTAGGGTAATTAGGATGGGTGTGTTAGAGACAATAAGATTAGCACAGGATAGAGCAGGGTTTAGAGCTGTTGTACATAGGGTCACTATGAGTCGCAGGCAACTCGACGGCACATAACAACAACAACAACAACAACAACAACTCATCCTTTTATTTCCTGACTGCTGGTGCCAAGAGTGTTAATTGTGGAACTTAGCAAGCTGAAATTAACAATTCCACTCTCTTCTCCATCTATCATGGTATTGCTAATTTTATCTGTGGTAAGAATCCTCGTTTTCTTGATATTGAGCCTCAATCCATATTGGAGACTGCAGCAAATATTTCATGTCCTCCCCAGTTTCAACAAGCATGGTTGAGTTATCTCTATAATAATGCAAGTTGTTGATAAGTCTTTTTCCAATCCTGATGTCACATTCCTCCTCATAAATTGGACTATTAGTCAGCCATAAAGAGAAATACATTCCTCCCACATGTCACCCCTTGGATGAACTTAGAAACAGTGCTAAGAAAAAATAAGTTACTCAGCAAAGAACAAAAAGTGCCTGACTTCCCTCATATGAAATGCTTAGAGAAGACAGACAGATATGTAGAGACAGATTTTGTTAGTGGTGCCGATGGGGAAAATTAGGAGTTATTACTTGATGTTTACAGAGTTTCTACTAAAAACAATGAAAACCATTTAGAAATGGAGAATGGTATTGTTTGCACAACATGGTAAATGTCATTTATGGCACAGAATCATATTATCACAATTGATCAAATGGTAAATGTTTTTAGATGATGATGATGATGATGATGATAGATAGATAGATAGATAGATAGATAGATAGATAGATAGATAGATAGATAGACAGATACAGAAAAAGAGAGACAGACAAAGAGCGCTCAAGCTCTGGCCACCTTCTGTGCATCTTTGCTCATGTGGAACTGTGCTCCATAAGGATTTCAGTGACTGACTTTTCAAAAGTGGACCACCAGGCCTTTCTTCAGAGATGGACCTGTGAATCCAGACACTCAACCTTTCAGTCAGCAGCCAAGTGTAGTCAGGTGACCCAGGGTTCATAGTGATTAGGGACCAGCAGCCTCCACAGCACCTGGGAGCTTGTGGGACATGCAGATTCGTCATCCCTTCCCCAAACCTGCTGAATCCAAATCTGCATGTTGTCAAGATCCCTAGGTAACTGACGTTCAACAAACATTGGAGTTTGGTGGAGAATGATAGATAAGACAGGCTTGTCTAGGTTTTGACTGGAGCAATGAACATGGCTTAGTGGTAAGGATTTGTGCTACCAATCCATAGGCATATAGTTCAAATCAGCCAGCCTGCTCTGAGGGAGAAAAATGAGAGATCTCCTCCCTTACCTTTCACAGCTTCTGAAAATGCACTGGAAAATCAACTATGGATCAATTCTGCCTTAATGGTACCCAACAACAAGAAGCAACTACCTATTAGTGATATCAAGTTTGGCCACTTGCTTCACCTCACCTGGCCTCTATCTCATATAGATAGAATCTGAGTAAAGCCTAGCTTATCGGGTGGTTGCAGAGAGGTAACTGAGTTCATATATGTCCATCACTCAGAAGAATGCCTGATGTTTAAAGCGCACTGTCCCAGGCCTGGTCACACTTAACCTTTCCCTCCTTCCCTCTTCCACCTTCTTTCTTCTCTCTCACCCTCTCTCCCTTTTTCCCTTTGACTTTTAAACTTTTCATTGTAGTTTGAGTGAGTTTACTGAACAAATTGTTTCTATTCAACAGTTCACACGTCTTTTGTTTCCTGACATTGATTGCAGCCCCCACAGTATAACAGCACTCATTCCTTGCCTCTTGGAACTATGTACATGCTCTTCAACACAAGAGTTAGCTATGATACTCATTTGTGCCTTTGTAGCCCAGGTCATTGTTATTTTTAGATGCTGTCAAGTCACTACAACTCATAGCACCCTGTGAACAACAGATCTGTCAGTTTGCCATACTGTGGTGGCTTACATGATGCTCTGATGCTGGAAACTATACCACTGTTGTTTCAAATACCAGCAGGTCGCCATGCATGGTGGCAGAGCTTACAGACTAAGACAGACTAGAAGGAGGACTGGAAGTGCAAGAATGAATGAATGAATGAAAATCCAAAATCTCTGTAAATGTTCATTAAAATGAATAAAAAAATAAATTGTAATTAAAAAAAAGGAGGAGGACTGGCCATCACTTCTGAAATAATAGGTCTTCAAAGATCTGTTACTTGAACAAGAGTAGAACACTGGTGCAGTTCATAGTGCTCAGAAGTTTATAACTTTCTGGATCACATGAAATCAATTACAGCACAGAGCTTACAAACCCAAATCAAGCATATGTCTCTTTGAAATACCCCATTTTAATTTTTAAATATCTTCAGTATCCATGTAATTTTCAAATCACTAGTGCTTACATATCAGGATTTTGTTTTAAAATTCTGTTTTTGAAATTTAAAAATTCTGTCCGGTGCCGGTTACTTCTGCAGGGAGGTATAGAAGGCCTCATCAAAATCCAGGTTTGACCTGATAAACTTTTCCTAGACCTTCATGTAGCATTGTTCACATACAGACCTGTTTTCAAAAGGAAACCTCAATTTAGGGATGTACAGAAGTAGAGCCTTCAAGAGATTTGTAGCTCTTATAGGTAACACAATGCCCAATCGTAGCATCAAGCAGCTAGAACGGTCATTGTCTGAAACCCTAAAAGATTTTAGAGGCTCGATCTCTCCAGGGAGGAATGTTAAAATTAAGAGCCAGTAATATGGGGGAGGTATAAGTGACATCAGAACCAGAAAGCAGATATTGACATACATAGAAATAGTACTGTAGGCCCATGAGTGAAGTCAGAAGACTTGGGCACATGGGCCTGAATGACATGAGAAAACAGGGACCAGAAGGAGACCCGCCCACTAAAGTCTGAACTCTGTAGCGTCATCTCATTGGCTCAAGCTCAAGCCCCAAGGTCCACCCAGAGAAAGGGCCATAAATAGAGATTCACCTTACAAGCGGGGAGCCTTATCTCCTTTCATGGAGGAAGGTCTGTCCCTTTTGGATGTAACTTTCTAATAAATCTACCATTACTGTTTACCCTCAAAAAAAATTAGAAAGGGAAGCCTCTGTTGTTTACATAACTTTGTTCTTCTTCCAGAGAGAATTTCCTGTTCCTGAGCAGTTCAAGACAACGTGGGATGGATCCAAGTTGGTCACCGAACCTGCAGAAATTATGGCCTAGCCTCCAGAGAGACTGGGTCCCCCAATTCCATGAATCCCCCACCCCATAAAAAAAATTAAACACCAGAAGTTGCAGCAGCACCCACTGCGTTACTTTGCGCCTCTAGTATTTCTGTGCTGTGGACACAGCACTGTCTCTGGCATGGTGTGGTGGGCATCTTGAAGTGTTTCGTAGTTCCTCATGGTCTACCTTTGTGTGTGATTTTATTTCCACGTGACTTGTGAGCATTACTAATTTAAAGGGAAATAAAAAAAGAATGCTCCTCCCCTGGTCTTATTAACACAGTAACTGATAGCTAAAAATACTGCACGGTTTGCTTTCACTGTTGTTTAAACTACTAGTCAAAATAGAAAATCTTTGAGAGGCTACGATGTACATTCTTACCTTTAGGTAATTTCAGTATTTTGTAGTCATAGTGTATCCTGGAAAGTGTAACTTCCCCCCCCCAATATTAGTCACATATTCACCTTAATTAGTATAAATACATAGTAAATGTGAACTTATATTTCAACACATATTTTTTATTGATTTGCTTACAAAGTTCGTGTATATTTCACACTATTCTCATGCAATAACACATGTTTTTTAAAAAGGCAAAATTCCATATAAATGGCCAAATTTGCTTTCTTGGTCCTCGGAAGACTACTTTTCTTTATATCTATTTAAAGCTAAACATAAATTCTGATTACTCCTCTTAATTTTTTTTTCTGTATTATCACTTAAAAAACTTCCATGCATAAAGATTTTTATGCTAAAAAGCTGGGGGGAGGACATCATTTCCCTTCGTATGTAATACCTCATGATTTTGCTCGAAAGTTCAAGCTCCATCTTTCTTGTCCAGCTTTGAACCTCTAAATGATGTGTTTAATGTTCCACTTGCCAGACTTGCTAGCCAGCTCAAAAAAAGGAACATGAAAAAGCCATATATTACTTCTTCTAAAACCTAAGGAACTGTTGATTGGCATGGCTCGCTGTTCCTATTTCGTAGCCTTGATAGTAAATGCTTTCTCAACACGAGAGTGGTCGGGATAATTGTTTGTGTCTTTTCAGTCCATAGTGCAAAAAACTCTGGCAACTTCTTGGATCACTTTGTATCATTATCATGAATAATGCTTGCAGACCCAATTCAAGCATATATATTGTGCCTATTATAGCCTTTGGAATACACTGTTTCTGTTTTTTAAAATACCTTCTATATATTACTCAAATAACTCATGCTCATGTACTGAGGTTTACTATAAAAGTTTTGTCCATATGAATAATGTTGTGGCTTTAGTAAATAGCATTTTTCAACTGTAAACTTATTCCAAAATAAAGTAAAATTCTAATTGTTTGGATCCTATTATTAATTCTGGATGTTAATTCCTGACTAACACACACACACACACACCTAGTCCCACTATGATGTGCCCCATATTCATGTCAGATTTGAGGAGAGCAACTAAATCCTTCTGGTGGACTTAGAGAATTTGTCTAGCACTCTATAAGCTTCCAGATGTCTTTAAGATCAGAGAAAGGAGGGCGCTCTGGTGGCCTAGTGGCAAGAAGCTGCACTGCAATCCCAAAGGTGTGCAGTTCCAGATCCACCAGACACTCCACTGGAGAAGGAGAGGCAATCTCCTCCTGTGCCAGTCAGATCGGATGGATTCAACAGTACACAACATGGGGGAGTAAAAACATGAAGATCAGAGAGAGGAATTTGCAGTAGGAATTTTAGAATTCCACTTTTAAATTACCCTAATAGATGTTGTTAATATCCTAGAAAGTGGATTTATTTTATTGCGTTATGTGGATGCCACAACCCTGTTTGCTGAAACTGAAGAGGACCTGAAGCGCCTGCTGCAGAGTGTCAAGGACT